GCTGGAGCCGGGCCAGCTTATTACCAAACACAGCATGGCATGCATGCGGAGAAGGCATTCATTATCACCCACTGTGGGGGGCTGCGAGGCGGTGGGGGGGGGGTCCAGAGGCACCCCAGTGAAGCTGAAGGACCAAAGGGTCGGGAGGGAGGCAAGGAAAGCACAGTGTGCCGTTTTTGTGAAGTGTGATGGTGGCATAGAGTTTAAGTGATGCGAGGCCTGAGGTTTTACTGCCTCCTGCTGGTTGGGTGGGAGAACGACGGGCGCTGCTGTCTCCCCTCGCTCCCCACAGCAGCTCACGAGGCAGCAGATATGCTGGCCAATTGGAGCAGGGTGGTCTGACGCCCCTGGGGATGGGGGAACGGGAAGTGGGAACGGTGTTGAGACAGGAGAGGACTCCTGAGAGAGACACTACCGGTTTATGGGAGTGTAGCATGAAAAGGCCAGTGTCACGGGAAGAGGCCAGAGAGAGACAGCAATCAGGAAAAGGATCACAGGGCATGGATGGAGGAGTGGTGTCAGGGCAAACAAAGCAATGTCACACATGCATGTAACACGTCACATGGGGGAACGGAAATGCAAGGCAGAGTGCCGCGCCAGTGTAACACGAGAGCGAGGCGAGGCGGGGCAGCGGGACGTGGCAGACTGAGCAGGCGGCTGGCTGCCCGTCCCGAGCAGGCGGGCGCCGGCCAGGTGAGGCTCAGACACGCTAAATAAATCGGCGTTCCGCAGCAGATATCAAATATTCAGCACCGGACACAGATTCTCTATTAAGCTTTTGGCATTAGGAAGACATTGTCTGAAGGTAAGATCTTCTCATCTCTTACTGAGGGTGGGAGACAGAATGTAAGAGAAAGAGACAGAGTGAGGGAGTGAGGGAGAGAGAGAGAGAGTCACCCTGATGCTGGCAGTTACAGTGACACGCTCACAGGGAGCCTCTGCGAGGCACAAAGGGCGCGTGAGGACACGTGCCCTGGGAGCATCATTAGCGCATTTCAGGTTTTAGCAGGATGAGAGAGGCTGGGGGGGGGGGGGGATGGGGGGGACTCAGCAGCATTTAGGGAATATGCTGCACACTGGGGACAAGCAGTGAAGGGGGAAAACCTTCTCCTGACAGTGTGACCTGGTCACTACAGGAGCCCAACCCCCCCCCCATACACACTTCCCAGTGGAGTTGGGGGCTGGATATTGCTGCCAGGTTGTCTGACCCCCATAGACAGTGTACTTGCGCCCCCTTAAGGCCAGAGGCTGGAACATCGCCCGGGAAGAGGCTCATGCCGTCCCTGGCCTCAGCGAGTGCTGCGCCGCACCTGCCAGCATTTCACACACATTAATGCCGAAAACTGACTGTGGCTTATTCTCCATCAGGGGTGTAACCAGGACACCTCACACAGAAAGCTGCATATCTGGCCCAAGGCTTATATCAGCCAGAAAAGGGAGTTCCATCTCATTTGCTTGCTTCAGATTCCCCGAGAAGCGGGCGGCCGAGAGGCGAGACTTCAACAAACTGAAGGCAGCTCTGACTGGGTGAGTGTAAGGAGAAGAAGAGATGTAAATCCCAACAGGCTCTCTCGCTCTTTCAGCCTTGCACTGCCGGGCCCCCATAATTACAGGCTGGGTGCTGAAGGCAGCTACAGAGCACTTCCTTTAGAGCTGCTACTCACAATGGGTGTGTGTGCACCGCACATAGGGAATGTAGCGTCCTCTGTGTGTGAGAACGCGCATAACCGCGAGTTCATGTACGAAAGCGTGCCTGTTTTATATATGTACGTGAAGGACCGTGGGCGTGTGCCGGAGAGAGAGGAACCTATTGCGAGAGAGTTCAGCCCCCCTATTGGAAGCACCCCCCTCCTGCCCTACCCACCCCTGCTGGAACAAACCGGATTAGACTGGACCAAAGCGGGCCTTTCTGGATACTGAGACAGGCACAGACAGAGACTGCAGGATATCCCTCCACTGTCTGGGTAGGGGGTCGCTCCACACAGTACGCTGCCCCCCGGCCCACAGGGACAGCTTGCGCCGGCCAGAGTTGACCAGCTTTCTCCTCAGACCCATCTGTGCCCCCGAACATCACAGGTAGCCAGGGCTGCAGGATGCGGGAAGACATCAGCACCCCCATGCGACCAGCAAGACAAAATAAACAGACAGAGCTCCTGTAGGGGAACTCTGATCAGACATCAAATGGTCGTACATGTGACTTTGACAGTGGCTGAGTGGTGCTGAAGTCCTGCCTTTAAATCTCCAGCTGCTGGACCCTGACATGATGGGATATTGAACGGGAGGGAGGTTGGCAGCGGGGGGGGG